CCCCAAAACCCCAAAACCCCAAAACCCCGTATAAATACATATTATAAAAATAAAGCAATTCGATAATTAGACTAGAATATAATTAAAAAGATTAAATGAAAGTATAAAAGCTGTTGTTTCTTGGTACAATTTTGAGCATAGTAAAGTCTTAAAATTTTATTGCAACTTCCTCTGAATGTAGAACAGATTGCATTGATTAAGGATAAAAATATTGTAAGAAAGATGAATATACAGGATATTGCTGCACATTTTCTGATACATCTAGTTAATGCAGTACAACATTAAACGCTTGCTCAAAAAAGGATAATGTGACCACAGTTGCCAAATACTACTATTGCCCAAGAGACAACTAAGGCTGCGGAGATCAAATAATTTCTGTTTCAACTTCAAAGTAGTTTATTGAGAACTAAGACAGATAATTTGTTGCTAAATCAATTTGCTCTTATGAGTTTGTATAAGGTGATGACTCCTTAGATCCCAAGGGGAAATACAACATCTCTGTTAAGTTAGAATCTTTTACTAGTACTTTCTATGCTTTTGCTGTCTATGGCGAAACCGTAACAACTGCTTATTCTTCATAAAATCTGGCAACTTAACGAAATTACTCATAAATCCTAGGAGACTCTATATTTTTGGTTGCACTCTGTGATTCATCTAATAATAATTGGTAATTTACATTATAGAGTCTAATTTTTATAATAGCAATTACAAGTTATCATATTAACTGATCAGGACCGACAATATAACTAGTTCATCTACTAATTCCTCAACAACAAATACTACAAATACATAAAATCAAACTTCAAATAACTCTACAGTGATCTTGCCATCATCACCTCCAAAAAATGTGACTGAATCTAGTACAAGCATTACTATTATTTCAGACTAAAATGATATTGAAGATAAGGGAACCTCAGGGGGAACAGTAGTTGTTATAGTAGTTGGAGTAATTATTCTTATTATTTTGCTTAGTTGTATCGGATTTTATATTATGAGGAAGTTAAGGAAAAATAAAGAACTCAAGGAAAAAGTTTTTGAGCCCGACCTTGCTGCTCTCGGAGATTAAGGCCCGAGTGTTATTAGTCCTGATTAGTACGGACACTAGGATTATGTATATAATCAAGATCCTGATAATATGGATGAAATTCTTAATCAGATTAATATGATGGAAAATGGCAAGGTAAATAATCCATAGTAAGTATACTAATAATAAACAAATGGACAGCAATAATAATAATATCAGAATTATTAGCAGCCTCCCCCTTAACAATACTATGATCCTTAAATTGAAAATGAAAATGAAGAATAATTAGAAATTCCGATGGACTTATTGCCCGAATGGATGAGAGAAATGGCTTATAATGATCCAGAATAATTTTAAGAACTCATGGATAATATGGATTAAGATCAACTATAAGAACTTATTGATTAAAACAATTCTAATTAAATTCCAAAACAGAAATCTGATAATTAAAGTAGAAGGTAAAAGTCTAGAGCAGATCCCTAAAATAAAAGATCCAGATAAATTGAAATAGAAGCAGAGGAATAGAGATAGCTTTAGCAAGTTATGTTGCTGTCTTAGTAAGAATAATTTCCATAGTAAAATCAGAATCATCATTAAAATGTTGAACTTCTGGATGAATCTGCAAATAATCTCCAAATGCTAGTTGGAATAAATGATGAAGAGGAATATTACTAAGAAGTAGATTTATCTGATAGAAATCAATAGAGAAATCATTGAGAACTCATAATACCTCTTCATTATAAGATTGATTAAAAATAGACCAAAGTCCTATATGTTTCTTAAACTATTAAAAAGTTTAATGATATTAAAACTAAATATTAGATTTAGGGGTTTTGGGGTTTTGGGGTTTTGGGG